GAACATTTTGACATACCTTAAAAAAATGGATGTATGTGTGTGTGTGTGTGTGTATGTATGTACGTGTGTGTATGTATGTGCGGATACAAATTTTCGTCGACGATTTCGGGAACACGGATCAACCGATTTGAATAATTCAAAAAACATTCGATTCGTATTGTTAAGGAGACGTGCTGATTAGTTTTTGGCGAAGGCAGGTCTAGCAGTTCCGAAGATACGGCGCAAAAAGTTCCGAAAACGGTAACGCAGTTTTTAAGAGAACGGAGCGTCCGATTTGAATAATTCAAAAAACATTTCACTTGTATTGACAAGATGAAGAATTAATCAAATTTTCATGAAGGCAGTCTAGCGATTTCGGAGATCTTATGAAGAAAGTAAAACAAAAAGCCATTTTGGCGGTCATTAGACATATGCACATCAAATTATCAGATATTTTATAGAGATTTTGACAATAAGTATGAATTTTGTTTACATTCCTATGGGTTCCGTACCAATGTTTATCCGTTAGACGGCGACGCGGCGCTTACGCGCTTTGACATTTCACCTCTATGCAGTTAAAGCAGTACGATTGCTTCGAAAAAAGTTCAGAATTTCCAAACTATGCCAAAATAAAGAAAACTTTTATTTTCAAACAATTTTTTTTTGTTTCTCAAAAATCTAATTTTTTCAAAAATGTTAATCGCTTTTAAAAAAATAATAATTTTTGGTACATGAAGTTTCAGCAATTTGCCTTAAGGCACGATGCCTTAATTGCCACAAGACAGAATTCCACTTACAGCTAGTTACTATCGTGTTTTTAACCTGTAACGCTTGTCATACGGGTCGAATGAACCGTCGAAAACGTTGCGTGGCCGCGTCATTGTGACTTATCTGCTTGTAGAAAGTAAACGTTCATATGCGGATTCTTATCGTGAATGCATCCGAGTTCGTTGTTTAATTCGATGAAGTGAAGTCACTTCGGTTAATTGGAGTTGTTTTGGCATTGCGTATTAAATTCCAGAACTCAGCGCCAGATAATAGGGTCCGATTCATTTTTAATGCCTTCATTTATTGCAACTCTTATTTATTGAACACATGAATTATTGCAGATTGAAAACAATTCATTTTTCTTTCTCACTTAAGTGATTTCGCGAGGCTTTTAAGAAAAGGTAATTAATGTCTGACTGAAAGTTTTAATTAAATTTTTATAAAACACCACACCGGCATGGTTGTTTGATGTCTGGCAGACTTCTTGTAGAGTAATTAAAAATTTGGCAATGGGGTATAACAATTCTACATTGGTGTATCAATATCCATTACATGGGAGTTAGTAGCTGTATCTATTAGTGATGTAACGAATGTTCGCATTCGCATTCGCATTCGCGAATATTCGCATATTTTTCGATATTCGCATTCGCATTCCTATTCGCAAAAAACGATGCGAATATTTAGCGAATGTATTTAACAACAAAAAGGAAATTATTATATAGTTGCATATGAAATGATAACACAACTGATAAGATTTATATATTTTTATTTAATCATACTTATTTATTTTTCCATTCCACTGTATATTTTCTAAGAATTAAATATGATAATGAAATATAAACTTAAAAAACCAAATAATGAATACTTGACTATTTCTAAATAAGCTTTTTACAAGAAAAAAGTAATATTTATTTCTATTTAAAACAAAAGTAAAGTTCTAATATTTATAATGTTAATTGCACATTTTTTCACTAATTTTCTTTTTCTTTGAATTAAAAATAATGAAATATAAACTACACAATTATAGTTTTGCTAATAACAAGTTGACACAGTTGACTATTAAAATAATTAAACTCGCTGTAACTTTCAAATTCTTAGTAATTAAATTGAAGTAAAGGAATGTTAAACTTTAAAATAAAGCTACACTGAAAACTCTTTCACTGGGGAGACTTGTGGGTGGAGTGACCAAATATTCTCTGGCTACAGGAGAAAAATACCATATTTATTGCTATTAACTTTCCACCAAAGAAGTGGTCTTTCTTCATTTTCAATACGTTTATCCAATACATATTCAATAATATTTTTTTAATTAAAACTTCTACAGGATTTGGAATTTCATTTTCCTAATTTTTCCCCTCGCTTTCACTTGAGTCCATCATCATTTTCATATTTTCTTTTAGTGATACAGATTTTTCTGAATGACTGGCACTGGAGCCAAGTTTTCCTTAACTTGATTAGTCATTTTAGGACGCTTTGAATTTGAACATAAAGGAAAGCTTAAGTCCTCATTTCCAATTAAATCCATAATATTTTTCACGACCTAATCTTTGGTTGAAGGATTTTTGAAAATTTCGATTTGTACCGTGTTTCTTGTAGATTAGCAAGTTCATCTTGAGCTACATTAGAGTGGTAAAATGTGTTGCTATCTTTTTACATTTGAAATGTCAAACATTTTGCGCGCGTTTTATTTGAAATTTAACATTCGCATTCGCATTCGCATTCGCGATATGAAGATGAATACTCGCATTCGCATTCGCGTTCGCGAATGTGAAAAATTCAACATTCGTTACATCACTAGTATCTATTGTTTAGTTGAATATAAAATTATTATATTCAACGTTTTTAGTTTTTGGCCAAGGGAGGTCCAGCGATTTCGGATACACGAGGCAAGAAGTGCCAAAAATGGTAATTCATTTTGAGAAAACGGATGGTTCAAATTCAATAACTAAAAAAAGCATTTTACTTGTAGCGACTAAATTAAGAACTGATTAAATTTTGGCAGGCCTAGCGGCTTCAGAAATTCAATGAAAAAAACTAATCATCGGACAAAAATGATCATTAGACATATGCACGTTAAATTATCAAGTAATTTATAGAGATTCTGATGATAAGTACATTTTTTTTACTTTTCTATGGGTTCCGTACCAATATTTATACGTACCACTCCGACGCGGCGCTATAACCCAATTCGATATTTTATCTCTGAAATAATTACGCAGTGCAAAAAAGTTCAAAATTTTAAAATATTAAAAAAATTACTTGTATGTTCTTGTGTTTTTCAAAAATTTCAAAATTTCCAAAAATATATTTTTTTCAATATTTTTTAAAAAGTTTAATACTTTTTTAAAACTTTTAAATTTCGGAACGGGAAGTATCAGCAATTTGCCTTAAGTCACATGCCATATCTTCACCACTAGTTTTTATGATGTTTTAAATTGAAATAATGTTATTGTTTGCGTTCAATGCAATATAAATAATTCATTTGTTTAACTTTTCAAATATAAAGTTATGTTTTCACACCAGAAAATCCAATTTTTTAGACTAAAATTAATAAAAGTATATGCGTGTGTATGTAAAACTGCATAAGGTTTTCTAGTTTACATACATTTAGTTTTTGAGACGATCCACTGAGCCTTTTCCTTTAAATTATCAGATAAGTGCTAAATATTTTTCCACGTTTTTGCCAAAAATCCTGAACCGATTTTGAACATATTGAAATATTTTTTGAAAGAAATCGTTCTCATAATTTTCTGTAAAGATCGAGTGGGTCATTTTTTGTTGAAACTTTTTTTTGACGATTTTGATGGAACTTTATACAGTGAGACAATTTTATAAAGTTCATGGTCTTAAGAAACATCTTAAAATATTATAGGCCTACGAAAAGTTGTTTAATTATGATTTTTTTTTTAACTTGGAATAGTAGGCCCGCGCCAAAATTTCAAATTTACTATAACAATTGTCTCAAATCTCAATTTTGTTGATTCTAAATATAAAATTATCGCGATTATTTGCACATATGTGGAAGTTCGTGCAATTTGCCTCAAGGCAAAATGCCACTTACATCTGGTTTTAATTTGTTTTGTTGATATGTTTATTGCGTAAAACTCTCGATAACGTTTGTCATTTATCTATTCATTAGCTGAGATAGTAATAAATTTTCTCGAATATATGCATTAAACAAGTTGGGAACATATTTCAATATAAATTATTAGCGATTGAAGATTTTTTTAAATCGTTTTATTTATGAGAAGGACGACTCTTGTTGAGTTGGTGAGTCGAGGTGAAAACGTTAAGGCTTGATGTCCTTGTTTCATGATTATAGGGAGATGAATAAAAAGATAATCGAATCAATTGATTAACAATTAGCATATCTAACTTATTGGCTGTTTAATCAATGGAAATAGAGTAATTTTCATTTATAGTTTTTTAATCATGATTATTTCAAATGCCGCCGTCGGTTATTTTTGTATTTTAACCCTCAATCTATCAAACACCTGGATTCTCACCAAGGTTTTTTTTGATGTTTAGAAACTGAATATAATATTTGAAATGTAGTATATAGAGCATCAAAGGTAGCGGTTCAAACGGCTCACATATTTTCTCAAAACACCAATTATAGTGTAGGCGTATGGCAACGTCGCCGTCGTAAGGGTCGTGCCGGATGGCGCGTATGGATTGCTCAACAGGCAGTCGGTACCGGGTTGTTGTCGCGATAAGAGATCTATGTATATGAACTGTCATAAACTATTATTATAAATTAACATACGCATTTCATTGGTAGTATACCAAGTGGTGACCCCGACGTGATTTAGTGTGTGTGTGTAAATTTTAAATGAATTCTCGTGCGAAAAGTTAAGTGCAGTGGAAAACATGAGTACGCCAGTAGTAGTGTCCCGCGATAACGTAAATTTGCCACATTTTTACGAGCAGGACCCAGAGTTGTGGTTTGCTTTAGCGGAAAGTGTGTTTGTGCACGCTAATGTGAAGGATGAAAGTTCAAAATTTCATACGGTCGTTAGTAAGTTGGACCCGCGGTATGCGTCAGAAGTTCGCAATATAATTCTGAAACCCCCTAAAGATAATCCATATAGTGCGTTGAAAAAGGAATTGTTGAAACGGTATGGCATTTCCGATGAAACAAGCTACGCCAGTTGTTGGAAGGTCAGGAAATGGGTGATAGAACTCCATCACAGTTTTTACGGCACCTACGCTCATTAGCGGGTTCAGCTGTTTCAAAAGAAATGCTGAACTTAATGTGGTCGTCGCGATTGCCTACGCATGTGCAAGCATTAATATCTATACGGGAAAACAGTGACATAGATTTGAATGCGAAAGCCGCCGACAGAATTATGGAATTAGAGACAGCATCGGGTGCAACAACAATGGCGATTGCAAGCACATCAGCGCACGACGATTTTTACGGCAACCTCGCGTCAGAATTGCGGAACATGCGAGCCGAGATTTCTGACTTGAGAAAGCAGGTACAGGATCGACGAGACGGTTCATCCCTTCGCCGTAGGCGCAGATCGCGTACGCCCGCAAGTACTCGGTCAGGTTCGGAAGAGCGCGTACGAACGCTTTGCGAATATCATCGACGGTTCGGTCGGAATGCAATGAGATGTCGATCGCCGTGCGACATGCGTTCGGAAAACTCCGTGGGCCATCGTTATTAGCGGCAAACGATTTACGCCCAGAGAGACAGATAAGCCGCCGTGTTTGCCTAAGTGACAGAAAGAGTCAGGTGTCGTACCTGATTGATACGGGGTCGGACGTTTCAGCGTTTCCGCGCTCATTATTATGCAATCCAAATAGGAAGAGGATTGCATACCAGCTAGCCGCCGCAATAATACGACGATTGCAACCTATGGTACGGTGGCAATGGTGGTTGATCTTGGGCTACGTCGCGACCTGTCGTGGAACTTCATTATAGCAGACGTTACGCAACCAATAATTGGTGTAGATTTTCTCGCTTACTACGGTTTGATTGTGGATGTGAAAAATCGTCAAATAACGGATGCTATGACAGGATTAACGGCGCAGGCGGATATTGCAGCGGGATCAATAGCGACTATAAAGGTGGTAACGGGTTCAACAGCGTACCATAAGTTGCTTGAAAAGTTTCCTGGTTTAACACGACCAGACGGCGCTGTTAGGTTACGCAAGCACGCGACGCAGCACCATATAGAGACAAGTCCTGGACCGCCGGTGGTTCAAAAACCTCGGAGATTAGCTCCGGACAGACTAATTGCTGCTAGAAAGGAGTTTGAAGCTATGCTGAAATTAGGAACGGCTCGACCATCGAAAAGTTGTTGGGCAGCCCCGCTACATATGGTTCCAAAAGGGTGTGATGAGTGGCGTCCATGTGGCGATTATAGAGGTTTGAATGCGCGAACGAAGCCTGACAAATATCCAGTACGCCATATTCATGATTTCGCCCAAGCCTTAGACGGAAAAACTATATTCTCGACTATAGACTTGGTGAAAGCGTTTAAACCAAATTCCGGTGGCGGAAGAAGATATTGCAAAAACCGCTATTACAACACCGTTTGGACTATATGAGTTTCCGTACATGACGTTTGGATTGCGCAACGCCGCGCAAACATTCCAGAGATTTATCGATGAGGTGTTGCAAGGGTTAGATTTTTGTTACGCCCTACATCGATGACATTCTTGTAGCTTCGTCGTCCGAGGAAGAACATATGGAGCACCTAGAGACACTGTTTGGTAAACTTTTGGAATTTGGAGTTGTAATAAACCCAGCTAAATGTGTGTTCGGCCAAACAAGTGTGTAAAGTTTTTGGGGTACGAGGTTTCGGCTGAGGGTACTCGCCCCTTGCCAGAGAAGGTTGAAGCTATTAGGACATTCACAAAGCCAGCGAACAACGCAAGAGCTGAGGCGGTTTTTGGGCATGCTAAACTTTTATAGAAGGTTCATACCAAATGCCGCTCAAATTCAAGCACCGTTAAATGAGTTTCTGCGTGGAGATCCGAAAAGCAAAACCCCGGTAGAGTGGACAGCGCATACGTCAGCTGCTTTTGAAGCGTGTAAGGAGAGTCTGGCTCAAGCAGCACTACTATCCCACCCACACGCTAATGCTCATTTAGCTATTTTCTGCGACGCTTCAGAACATTCCATTGGAGCCTCATTACAGCAGCAGGTCGCTAACAGCTGGCAACCTTTGGCATTCTTTTCGCGAAAACTGAGCACAACGGAACGGAAATACGCAACTTACGATCGTGAACTACTTGCAGTGTATGAAGCGGTGAAATACTTTCGTCACATGGTTGAGGCAAGAACTTTTACAATTTTTACTGACCATAAACCAATAGTGTTCGCATTTGTCAAGAAGGATAGTCAGTGTTCGCCTCGTCAATTCCGATATTTAGACTTTATCGCCCAATTTTCGACCGATGTACGTCATATGTCGGGAGAGAAAAATGTTGTCGCCGACGCATTATCGCGGGTGGAGACTCTAAGAAGTGCCGGAATAGATATAAAGTTATTAGCAGCGGAGCAGAGAATAGATGAAGAAATAGCTAAGTTGCGCACCGAAAACAACACGTCGCTCAAACTGAAACTTATTCGATTTGAGGACCAAGACGTGTCAGTCTTGTGCGACACCTCTACGCGAACAGTTAGACCGTATGTTCCAACAAAGTTACGGCGGGCGGTGTTTGATAGCTTACACGGATTGTCACACCCCGGTATGAATGCTACGATCAAGCTAGTTACACAAAGATATGTGTGGCCGTACATCAAACGGGATTGCCGCGAGTGGGCTCGATGTTGCGTCGCATGTCAGCGTGCAAAAGTCAGTAGGCACGTGCAGGCCCCAACTGGACAATTTGAACTTCCATCGGGTAGATTTGAGCACGTGCATATCGATATAGTGATAATGCCATTGTCAGAAGGATATCGGTATTGCCTTACATGCATCGTCGACAGATTTTCGAGATGGCCGGAAGCAATTCCAATCAGAGACCAAGAAGCCTCCACCGTAGCGCGAGCCTTCTATTCTAATTGGATTGCAAGATTTGGTATACCGCTGCGCGCTGACGTCGGACCAAGGAAGGCAGTTCGAGTCACGAATATTCAGTGAATTAAATCAGCTGCTTGGCACGAGTCATTACAAGACTACGGCATACCATCCCGAAGCCAATGGGATGGTCGAAAGATTCCACCGCCAGCTCAAAGCAGCTATCAGATGCCATAGCAGTGAAAGATGGACAGAAATATTACCGACGGTTATGTTAGGAATTCGTGCAGCATGGAAAGAGGATCTGCAAGCTACTGTTGCGGAAATGGTATATGGCGAAGCCTTGCGATTGCCTGGACCAATGCTACACGTAACACCGACGAGTAATTACGGCGAGAGAAACTTTGTAAATAACCTGCGGGACCACATGCAAAATATATGCCCCATCAATGGAACGCGACATGGCCAGAAGAGAACATTTGTCTTCAAAGATTTAGCGACTGCGGAGAGCGTTTTGTTCGAAACGACGGCCCAAAGAGACCTCTGCAGAATCCATATGAAGGTCCCTTTGAGGTAAAGTCCAGATCAGCAAAGTCTTTTGTGGTATGTATGCGTGGCAAAGATGTCACCATATCTATCGACCGTTTGAAGCCAGCATACACACTAGCGCCAGAAGAAAATGCTGAATCCGTTCCGTCGCAGTCTAATGAGATTCCGCAAACAATCCAGCGAGAATCTGACAACAACAGCAGATCTCAGCCGTTGAGCCCGACAGAGCCTGAGCCAGTTGCACAACCAACTCTTCAACAAGACGAGGACGCCGAGTTCGGTTTCCGGATGGATTTTTGGCAGGCCGGATTTTCGTGAACTTCGTCACTAGAGGGGGAGTACTGTAGGCGTATGGCAACGTCGCCGTCGTAAGGGTCGTGCCGGATGGCGCGTATGGATTGCTCAACAGGCAGTCGGTACCC